TGTTGACCAGGATGGTCTCAATCTCTTGACCTCGTGATCCACCCGCCTCGGCCTCCCAAAGTGCTGGGATTACAGGCGTGAGCCACCGCGCCCGGCCGAAAGTGGTTTCTTGAGAGGAAATCTCCTCCTGGTGAGGATGCTGTGACAACTGTTGAAATGACAACAAAGGATTTAGAATATCAAATAAGTTTAGTTGATACAGCAGTGACAGGACTTGAGAGGGACAGACTGCAATTTTTAAAAAAGTTCTATTGTGGGCAGAATGCTGTCCAAGAGCGTCGCATCCTATGGAGAAATCGTCTGTGAAAGGAGAGCACCCAGGGTGGCAAATTTCACTGCTGTCTTAAGAAACTGCCAAAGACAACCCAGTGTTCAGCAACCATCACCGTGATCAACATTGAAACAAAACCCTCCACCAGCAAGACGATTATGACTTACTGAAGGTTCAGATGACTGTTAGCATTTTTTAGCAATAAAGTTTTTGCTTTTTTTTAAGAGAAGGGGTCTCCCATGTTGCTCAGTTGACTGCCTGGGCTCAGGCAATCCACTTGCCCCTGCCTCTGGAGTAGCTGGGATTACAAAGAACTGAGAGTGGGTGTTCCCGTGACGGGACAACGCGGACCATCCAGTGTTCAATTCTCGAGATGGTCTGTAACAGCACTGTAAGAGCTGCTGCTGCTGACAGTGATGGATCCGGGTATACACTGAAAACAAGGCAGCAGGTATGAAACCTACACTGTGTGTTATGAAAGTACAAGAGCAGGGATTGCTATTTTAGGGGGCATAAAGGAGAAACAAATGATTTAAATATTGAACTGCTGGCAGAATACAGGTTTAGATCAAGATAGGAGGAGGATCATTAAATACAAACACAGAAAGGAAAGCTGCAACTAAAAGTCAAATATCAGGGCCCATCCTTTCAGGGAGTGCAGGCAACCCTCAGCCTAGGAGAGGTCAATATGCTGTATTCTAGTCAGGGGCAGCACCCGTGAAACTGCGTAATGTCAGACACTGAGCCAGACGAATGCTCATCTCAAAAAACATCTTTCTGATATGTGGGCACTTTAATTTGCAGGAACGATCACAGAAAAGAAACATGGACCCGAAGGCAGTTAATATTACACCACAAAGCCGACTGTCACTCCCTCGTCAAGCTCCCTCTGGGAATCAACTCTTAGTCTAAGAGTTCTTCACACTTTCCTGCCTCACGTCCCCCGAGGGTTAAAACACACTCCCATGAGCACACCTGGCTACTTCACACTGGCCGTGATTCTCAGCCCCCATGGCATGCCCAGGTCACAGCCCCAGGTACAGCTCCAACAGCTGCTGTCAGCACCCGAGTTTCTCAATGCACCCTTCTGTACCCTTCCCAGGCTTTGTGGAAAAGGTCAGGGGTGCTGGCTACCTTGTCGCCTTGGCCCAGGTTCTCTGATTTGACCTCATACAAGGTTTTCCAGTTGGTGTTACTCCCTCCAAGTCCACCGCTCTTTAGGTCAGAGATGGAAACGCCATCTAAGGCTTGTCCTTCTGAGTCAAACCTGAAAACATGAACAAAGAACGATGACGAGCACTTGATACGCTTCTCGACACGTGACCTGTTTCTGCACGCCAGGCACAGGTTTCCCACCACCCATCCAACTTTCACATAGCACACGGTCATATTGGCTGAACTTAGTATCTTCGGAATTATATGCTTTTTTACATTTTTAAATTAAAAAAAACAATCTGTGACAGATTCACTCTGTCACCCAAGCTGGAGTGCAATGATGCAATCATGGCTCACGGCGGCTGTGACCTCCTGAGCTCAAGTGATCCTCCCATCTCAGCCCCACTAAGTAGCTGGGACTACAGGTACATGCCACCATGCCCAGGCCCATTAAAAAAATTCTTTTTTTTTAAGAGATAGGGTCTTGCTATGTTGATCAGGCAGGTCTCAAACTCTTGGACTCAGGCAATCCTCCTCCCTCGGCCTCCCAAAGTGCTGGGATTACAGGGGTGCGGCAGTGCTCCCGGCCCAAAGTGAGCTGAAGAAACTGAATGACCTTTCTTCTAATCTCAGTTGCTTTGATGCCCCCCAGTGGTGAAGGGAATCAGTGCCAAAGTACCAAGGAATCTTTTCTTCAATTAGCCGGACCACCCCAGGCCTAAAATCAGAATCTGGGAAAGTCAACAACCAGTAAGCTATAAAGTAGCTGGCTGGTGTAGTCCTTTGGGCTACTAATGCTCATTCGCAGCAGGCAGCTGCGTTTTGATCACCACCGAATGTATCAGTACGGAAAGGGACAGTCAATACTGTATACTGCGATAGCCTAGCAAAAAAGGTTTCCATAAAAGGCTTCCCATGCCCGATACAGAGGCCAAAAGTGGTGATTTTGTTGTTTTTGAGACAGTCTTGCTGTGTCACTCAGGATGAAGTGCACTGGCACCGACTTGGCCCACTGCAACCTCCACCTCCTGGCAAGCCATTCTCGTGCCTCAGCCTCCCAAGTAGCTGGGACTACAGGCACACACCACCACGCCCGGCTGATTTTTGTATTTTTTGTAGAGATGAGGTTTCACCATGTTGGCCAGGGTTGTCTTGAACTCCTGGCCTCAAGCAATTGCTCACCTTGGCCTCCCAAAGTGCTGGGATTACAGGCATGAGCCACTGAGGCTGGCCCAAAAGATTTTATAACCCAGAGCAATTTATCAGAAGGCATTATCCTTTGTCTTATAGATTTACTTTTGCCCATATGGAGATTAAATTAATTTGTATTAATTATTAAAATTGATGGTGCTTCTTGATCACGTAACAACTGATATGAAGGAAACGAGGCCAAGGAGAAAGCGGCTCAGGAACACAGCGGCACAGAGAGGAGGCAGCCTGAGACTAGAGGCAGGCCAAGCACCCGCCAAAGGTGCGTAACTAGGAGCTCGCCGCACGAAGAACCGGTTTCTCACGAAGAGACCATCTCAAGAATGGATGTCATCCTACGCTGCGGACAGCCGCCTTCTCCTGTCAGGTAAGCGCCTAAATCCCCCACAGGGCACAGCAAGGGCCGCACGTCTGTTTCACCACCACTAGCTACACCAGTTTACGGTTTCAAAGACTCCAAGGAACAACTGCCACCGAAGACCACTCATCAGGAGTCAACAGAGCAAGGAGACAGGCGACCCCGATCAAAATCCTGCACGGTCACAGCCAAGATCTAAACACCTCTAATCCCTGTCCACGTAGAGTGTGCGCACTGAGAAGTCCTTTGATCAGTGCCAGGTTATTTGATTCTGCGGACAGCCGTGCTCCTTATGTTGACTGGGATCATGGTTATTGACAAGTAAAATATGAAGACCTTCATGTGGGAATGCAATTAACCTGGGGCCGAGCTCCAGAGCCTGAAAGGAAATCAAGCAGTAAGAACAAAGCAATCTGCAGCTATTTCTGGTCAGACTGGGCCCCGCCTTCTGCAATGCCAGCTACCACAGCAGTTTAGTAGAGATGTGTGGACCGTGCTCACGAGGGTGGCTTATGTGACATGAACATTCCAGAACATGCTTCATGAAACTGGGCAAACACCAGTGCCACTGGTTCACATGACTCAATGCAGAGGAGGAGCATGTAAAATGAGCTCTTTCTGTAGCTGCTTAAATCCTAAGACACAGCTGGAAACCGACACGCTGCCCCGTGACTAGAGCTACAGGACTTATTCCAGCCGGGCTAGTGAAAGCGCCTTCCTGACCACATCAATCCTTGCATTCTGTGTTTCGGTTTCAAGTACTCTTTTAAGACCGAGTTTTAATGTCCTAAAAGGCTAGAGACAGTGAGGAGATTTTAACAGCCTCTCCTCATCCCCTGAGTGCTATGGGAATAACAATCTAATCCTAACAAAAAGCCCATTGTTCTCACCACACTTTATCAGAGTCCAGTGAATACACACTGGAAGATGAGATCGGCACCAGAGGCTCGACAGAAAAAGAAAGCACATGCTCCCCCCACGCCACAGAGGCCCGCAGCCTGAACCCTGGAAAGAAAGACGCCTCCGCACCTGCCGCTGAAGGCTGCCGGGCACTCCGCGGCAGGACCGAGGTCAGCAGGCAGCACCACATTCTCGTCGCCTCCTGGGACTCTCTGGTTTGTCATGGGATTCCAGGTTTGTCAGCTAAAGGGTTTTAAAGCCATCCCCTCAGAAGACAAAACGCCTCCAAGAAACGAGTGCACCACTCACTTCCCTAAGGAAGGCTTCTGCTTGGCGGAGGCTCACACACGGCAACCAGCTCTCCTCAAACCCAGCCTCAAACAGCCCTTTGTTTCGCCCCACGAAACCTACCATCCACGAAGCTTATAGGCCTCTGGGATGTCAGGATTGACGATGATTGTGCTGGAAGACAGCACGGAGAGGCTCCGTCCACCAAAATCAGAGACTCTGGCTCCTTTGATAGCCAGCACGGGCTGTCTGGAACCATCAAATTTATCAGCCTGTAGAAGAAACACCAGACATACACAAGTGTCACTAGCAGGAAGAACACAGAAGGTTTTCATAGAAAACAGGGCAAACAGTGGATAGTGAGTGAATGTAATCAATGTACATGGAATCTATACAAGACAGACGTCACACGTAAGGATCTTCTCAGAGACACATCAAACTAGCACTACTTTCCCAGAGTTAGGGGGAACAGTGCTTGCCTCTATAAAGCTTGAATCACAGCAAATCTCACAGAAGATAAAGGACTTCAAATATTTGCCAGATAGCACAGCCCTTCCCATCTACACGGCCAAAGCCCCCAACTCATAGGACAAGACCGCCCGCTGGCCCAGGAGCTCCTCCTGTGCCCGCTGACGGCCCCACCCTCACACTTACATCTTCCCCCCACAGCGTAGCAGTCACCACCTTCCCCGATGTGTCCATCAAGTAGATATTCCTCTTAGCAACCTCTCTGTTGTTAGACCTCACTGTGATTTTAGTGGCATCTTCATAGCTCTTGCAGATCCCAATTATGTCTGAAACACACGCACAATGCGTTAGCAGAAGACCGTCAGGGCTCCCGCTGAATGGGATCGGAGAGTTAATGGCAGGCACTGGGGTCTGACACTGTCCTGGACACCACACAGGACACGGCATAGGAACACCGCCCCCCCACGCTGCACAGGACACCGCCCCCCTACGCTGCACAGGGACACCGTCCCCCTACGCTGCACAGAAAACCACTCATCACTGCTGTTCCTTCCCATGCACCAACTTACCAACAAGTGAGTCTTTAGACTTGTTCTCTAGGTTATCAATCCCTGTGAAATCAAACTGAACGGTAGGCAAGTGACGATCATCTTCACAGGGCATGACAGAAGTCTCATTATTAAAGGTCATCTCATAGTCATTTTTAACAGCTGTGAATTGTTTGTTAGCAATCTTCAGGGTGCCTTTTGAGAAATAATATACCTGCAAAGGAGGCCAAGCCACAGAACTTGAGACTGTCATCAAATTGGACAAGAAACCCCGGTTTGCCACCACACAACCCTCCACTGGACCAGAGTCCTCTCATCCTCAGTGAGTGTCGGCCCCAAAGCCAACACTACCATACCTTGTTCACTTCAATGAGGGGAAAGAACTTGTCCACTTGCTCATTGAAAGCTGTAGCTCTGATTTCACCCTGTGGAAGCACGTGAGAGCAGTTAGGACTGTGGGATTCAAGTTCACGCCTGACCAGTGAAACACAGGCCACCTCAGCATCAAAATGACATCTTTAGAGCAGTGAGGCACAAAGGGGACCCAGAGAAGGCTCCAGACACCCCAGAAACCTGCATTTTTTTGTCACACATTCAAGTCATTAGCCCACTGAAAAATGAGAATTTCAATTGCTGGTCCCATAATAATGCTGCATTAACCTCAGTGAGACACTGAGAACTGAACGAAAGGCCAATGTTGAGCGGAGTATTCTGTCAATAAAAACTAAACCACGCTGACCACTGAGCAACACAACCGGAGCCCACAGCACGGTGCTGCCAAGATGACTCCCACTTCCCCCGGTGCCTTCTCAGTGACAAACACTCCATGCTCGGGAGCCACTGCCACAAATGTCACAATAAGTCATGGTTTCAAGTTGCTTGTGATCTGATTTTCACTTTTGCTTTTCTGTCAGCCAAAATGCTACAGGTGGACAAGAAACTTAAATGGCTGAAATTGTAGCCAACCATCATACATTAGAGCAGTAATTCATTAAAAAAAATAATAATAATAGGTTCTAATATTGATTCTGCCACCACACAGTCAAACATTCTGGGTGTTATACCATCATTCCCCCCACCCCCAAAAAATCTATTTTTTTCCTCCGCCTTTGGGAGTTTGAACAAACAGGAAATATGTGGCACTTTGAAAGGAACGCTGCAAGTACATTTTAGAAATCATTATATTATTATTTCTATTTTTTTTTGAGATGGAGTCTTGCTCTGTTGCCCAGCTTGGAGTGCGGTGGTGCAATCTCAGCTTGCTGCAACCTCTGCCTCCTGGATTCAAGTGATTCTTCTACCTCAGCCTCCCAGGTAGCTGGGACTACAGGCATGCGCCACAAAGCCCAGCTAATTTTTATATTTTTAGTACAGATGGGGTTTCACTATGTTGACCAGGCTGGTCTCGACCTCCTGACCCCAAGTAATCTGCCCGCCTCGGCCTCCCAAAGTGTTGGGATTACAGGCAGGAGCCAGCACGCCCAGACAGTTTTTGCATTTTTAGTACAGATGGAGTTTCACTATGTTGGACAGGCTGGTCTAAAACTCCTGAAAGGGACAGATTAACAGCTATCAAGACTGTCATGATTCTATGGCATAAGAATTCTATCTCATTGTCATGGTTTTGTTTAGTTTAAATAAAGCAAGTAAGAGAATCTGCACAGTCAGAACCCATTTCCCACAAAACCACTCCCGTTTCAAGGTCACAACTGTGTGCCTTCTGCTATGACGGAAGCTCCACTCTGCCCATCAGCAGGTATCACCTCCCAGGGCCTCGACGGAGCCTGCCAGCAAATCAGACTGTCTCCAGTTTCTCCTGCCCAAGGGGCTACTTACACATTTAGAAAACTACTTTCTACTGCTACAAACACTGTCATTTAAGATCAAAGATTTATTTATGACCTTTAACCCTCCACTCCAGACAGCATCAAAGGACCAGGTCAGAGGGAGAAGCACAAAACAGTCGCGCTTCTCTCTGGCCTACTGTTCTTCTTCGCCCCTTCGGCCCACAGAGCTGAGGCTTTTGTTTCTCAGAGTCCACGACTCTCACTTCCCTGCTTGGCAAATACTCACACTTTCATCAACTAGCTCTAGAGAGAACAGCTTCCCTTCCCCTCGGGAGTTGCTCCAGGTACGGATCTGACTTTTGTTGGTGACACGAGCACAAATCGTCCACCTAAAAACCAAATCCATTATATTAGTGTTTGGGGTCTTACTTGGAAAAGATCAAGTGAGAAATCATCTTCCTACAGCCTTTCTCATCTTACACAGATTCCATTTTCCAACCTGTATTTTAATCCAGCTAATTAAAACCCAAAGATGACACATGGGTTTGACAGTTTACAGAATAAGCAAATAGTAAAACATGCAAGGTGATTTAACACTAACTCATTCTCCTGTCAAACAAGTAAATTTATAAACTCTCTCCCTTCTCCAAAAAGCATCTCCAAGGCAGCAATATCCCGTTAATGAAAGGTTCTAAGCTAGAAAATACAGTAACACCGGCAATTATATTTTACCAGAGTTTTCAATTATGGGAACTGATATAACTGGTGTCAAACTTCTGTCTCATTTCTCACACACGTGGAAGATAAATACATCACGTCGGCGGGCCATCCGGGAAACACACTGCGGCAGCAGGACCTTACAGAGAGGCGCTGAGGAGAGGAGGCCAAAAATCTGAGCCCCACTTCCGGTGCCCTCCTGAACACCTGAACCAGGCACATAGGCACCTCATTTCACAGGGAGGAATCTGTTTCCTACATTACAAAGTATTGAGGAATAGAAACATATCTGAAAGAATTCTGAAAAAAAGAACTCTAATTTTTAACTATGCAAATTATTTTGTTTATTTATTGAGAAGGAGTCTCACTGTCGCCCAGGGTGGAGTGCAGTGGCGCAATGTCAGCTCACCACAACGTATATCTCCTGGGTTCAAGCGAGTCTTCTGCCTCAGCCTCCCGAGTAGCTGGGATTACAAGGTGTGCACCACCACACCTGGCTAATTTCTGTATTTTTAGTAGAGACGGGGTTTCGCTGTGTTGGCCAGGCTGGTCTCGAACTCCCAAACTCGGTTGATCCGCCCACCTCGGCCCCCCAAAGTGCCCAGCTTAAAATTAATTTTTAGTGTAAAAAAGTCATATGAAAGAAATATACGTTCGGGGTATGTTAATGTGGTTACTACAAATAGTGCAGATTATTTTAGCCAACTAAACCAAAGGCGAAGTCACCTGTTTATAGAAGATGAAAGGCCTTCAGATACATTTATTTTTACTCATAAGACTATCAACTGATTAAATTGATAATTTTTCATTTCAAATTTCAATATTTTTAATTTGAAATTCTTTCAAATTGAATGAAACCCCACAGGCCATGGTAGATTGCTATTTTTGCTCTACTTTCCAGTAAGAGAGTTAAAGGGTTACCACAATCTGTACCCGTCTCCTCCTCATGAAACAAAGAGAGTAAACCCAGGCCAGGCGCGGTGGCTCACACCTGTCATCCCAGCACTTTGGGAGGCTGAGGCGGGTGGATCATGAGGTCAGGAGTTCAAGACCAGCCTGGCCAAGATGATGAAATCCTGTCTCTACTAAAATACAAAAAAATTAGCTGGGCATGGTGGTGGGCACCTGTAATCCAGCTACTCAGGAGGCTGAGGCAGGAGGACCACTTGATCCCAGCAGGTGGGGGTTATAGTGAGCTGAGATTGCACCACTGCACTCACTCCAGCCTGGGGGAAGAAGAGAGACTGTCTCAAAAAAAAAAAAGAGAAAAAGAAAAAGAGTAAACTCATTCTATTTGGAGGTGACCCTGAGGATCACACATGAATAAACTCAAGAGTCCATAGTGACTTCTCTATTTTATACGTACACCTGGAACTTATCCTATGCAACAACTCACTTGGACTGGTAAGGGGTAAGGCTGGCAATGGGCACCACTTTGGCCTGTGTTCCCGCGGAAGTGCTGGACAGGCTGGGACCTCCAGCTTTTCCAAATGTCTTTGACGCACCATAAGCCTTAGGAACAGTGGAACCTTTAAAAACACACACAAACGAAAAGGAATATCATCATTCTACTTAACTTTTTTATAGTAAGCCGTACAATAACTCTAAATTACTGAGGTGCCACCAGTGAAATTATACAACATGACAGGCAAAGCTTTTCCTTTTTAGTATGCAAGAGATATGCAGATCAAATAGAGACGGAGGCTGGAGGCTAGAAAAGCAATCTAGAATGAAGGCTGCGCACACGGAAGTTTACTGTTACGTTTGCTCACGTCAGCCCCAAGGTCAAGGTAATAGCGGTAATGAATCCAGACACTGCTCTTTCTGAAGGCTGCCCTCCTAAACACTTCTCTTGCCTCAACGGGCAAGGTAACAGGTCAGAAGAAGAAAATCAACTTTCTTAACCGGTAAAACTGACAGCAAGGCACTCGTCACGTCGGAAGAAAAGCAGGGGGACAGGACAGGACGTGAGGGGTCTATCACAAAGAGATCGCCTCCAAATCCCCAGGCAGCTCCCAGGCCTCAGCACGACCAGACAACCAGAGGCTAGCACGGAGCCCGTGAGGCTGGGTCTAGTCGGGTGCAAAGGGCAAGAGTCAGTTTTTGGTCAAGACAGGTAAGCGGGTGACCACGAAGGCCCTTCTGCCTCCTTATC